CAAGTCGTTTGAAAACTTGTTCATAGCTGGACTTGTGTGTTTCGTAGGGAATTGACTTGAAGCGATTGCGCCCACGCAAAAATTTAATAACATACCAGTATTTATATTGCCGGAATTTAGGAAAAAGGTTCCAAGTTGACGTGGTACCGCTCGAACAAATAGTAAGCAACAGCATCAACTGAGCATAAGTGTACGTCTTTATTACGCTTGTAGCCAGCATGTTGAAGCTTCCCAAAAGTGTTTGTTTTTCCGTGTTGTATCCGCAAGACGAGAGTGGTAAAAGGTTGAAACCCTTCCCCATCAAGAACCTGGGAAAACATATGTGCTAGTTCTAGATCGTGAATATTTTCTCCACGTAACAAACCGTGTGCGAAATTAAAAAGGCTGCTCGCCCTCCGAGGTCATTCAAAAGGAAAAATGTATCGCAAATCTGAAGAAATTGAGCCTCAAACGGATAGCCATCTAGCCACGATCCAAGGCCGCGATATTGATATTTCTATATATATTTATTTTAGTGATTTGAGATTTACATTCTTTATCAGATTTTTCACTTGTACAGATCGAGGGTGGGAATTTTGAGTTAACTCGAAGAGCGACTTGTTGGTTGTAGAGATCGACTACAGCGTTGACGTATCCACATTCCGTAGAACCCCCAATCACCGTGCCTTTCTTCTTTTTTTTACTCTATACCTACCACTTGCTCTGACAAGAAAAAATGTAACTTGCCCTATGTGACTGTGATTCCGTAGCAAAAGTGTATCTGATTGCACCACTCCTTAAACTCTGTCTGGTAGCCTTCGTATTTTCGTTTCGTGTTGGTTGGGCGAGCTCTCAAACTAGTTGTAGTGTAGCAAGCTCACTCTCTTCGATTTGCCTGAGCCATTTGGCGGACCTTCGGCTGTTGTAGATAAGCTCGCAGCCGCATACGAGCCGATCGATAGTCCTGAGCGGTTTTTGTAAAGACTTTGTGCCCCCCCCCCCATTCACACTGGCTCAAGTTCTTCACGCATCAGAGGATGCCTTCCCGTTGGCTATCCAGGGACTCCAGGGATTGCACCTGGGTGTATATCATCGCCGTCACCTGTGAGGTAGCATGCACAGTGTCGCGGTAACATAAGCCTCATGCAAACTGCTGTTGTATGGCGCGTTCCGTAAGTTGTGAGCCGCCGGTTGCTGGCCCTGGCACATATATAAGAATTATATAATAAACATATAGAATTTTACGAAACCCATAACGTAAATAACGAATATCTTGACGCTTGATAGTTTTGGCGTAGAGAATTCCCCATCTGAACTGAATGAGTGGTACCCGACGGGTAGCAAGGATGGACTCATCGTCTGGGCAAAGCACAACTCCCCCAGTAGCTGGAACAACGGGAACACACCCGTTTGGGTTTCCCGCACACGCTGTTGGACCCGGTCTTGGATCCTGACGACATGTATGCCGGCGGCGCCATTCCATGTGGGAAGAGATAGCATGGCTTATCCTAACTCAAGATGATATAGGTAGATTGGTTCCGTCAGTCCATGGATCACGTCCATACTATCTTCCGATCACCTATGTGAGGTAATCAGCGGATTGGGGCGTAGGGTCGGTGGAAAAAATATATTTTTCTTTCGCCGTTGTCCTACGACAAATCCAAAGGAAAACAGCGAATCGCGTTGCTGCCCTTTTACTACACGTGGTGTTTCATATGGTTTGATTATCATGCGTGTGTTTAACCCATTAGAGGCGCTCCAAATGACCATAAAAGCACTAGTAATCAAGAGCGCCCTTTTTCATTTTAAATAAAGATGCTGTAACTTTTGAGCAACTTTAACTCAAACTTGATATTGCATATCCCGCTGCGAATATATGCAATAATTCAAAGATCGCGCTGTCTCAGGCCCGTATGCTGTTATTTTCTCAAGCTTATATAATTAGTCATTCTTGAATGGATATTCTTGTTCCCCACCATCTCGACATCCACAATCGAGGATTCGCTATTGCGATCGTACACACAATTGATTCACTGGAATATCTTCAACTATACTTCTCTGGTCCACGATAATATGCGCGTTTCGGTTTTTTGGGAGTAATATTAGCCTTAGAACGAATTAGACAACAAAACAACCATCATCAGACAGCTTTGCTCTTGCTGCATTCGGGGGATTTTTGCTGGGGAAAATTGTTTCGAAATGAGCACTAGAACATCGTTATTACGCTCGGTATTCCGGGGCCCATTAGGTTTTTTTTTCATAAAACTTAGGCAAGTTAGCGATATTCACGCTGAAAAATACTGCTGGATCCTCTCAATACTGGCTATTGCATGAATCCTGTTTTATCTCTAAAACGCTCCATTTACGGAAGAGACAGCACGGAAATAAAAAGAGGTTTTTCTCGATGAAATTCGCATTCACTCAGAGATTTATCCAATAGCAGGCAAGTAACGATTTATTTGAAAAATTATGGTCAATTTTACATATGATTTAAGCGACACTTTAGGTAAAACCGTACTTTTATTTGGCTTCTAGCAAGCGGAAGCCTACGATGACAATCTCCTTCAGTATGGGGAGCGAAGACGGAGTTACGTTTGATCTTGCGTTTAGAAAGAGCTTGCGTACCCGAGGCAACGCGTAGTTATTGCCATCACCGCAGGAAATTACACACTGCAAAACCCTTTGAAGCGTAACGAAGCACTTGTCGATTGTCGTGCGTGGTAAGCTTCAAAAAGCGTCTTCCACTACAGTGATCAACCCCTGGAGGTTATGTGTAGGGTAGCGATACTGACCACTCTGAATAGCATTGAACAGACCAAGATCGAGGACGTTCATGTCCGGCGAACGAGGTGGCTGACACGTCATATCTATCGTCCAGCCGTGCTCGATCCCGGCCTCAAGAATATCTGCGTTGTCTCCCGCAACATGTGGTCCAGCGTTGTCTTGCTGCACCTTAATGCGCAGAGATTTTCACCCTACAGTACGATAAATATTAATCACAATAAAAAAAAATAATCAATTGCTTTACCAGGCCAAAGTTGCCGAATCGCTGGAAATACTTTTTCCTTGAGCATCTTCACATACACCTTTCGCGTCCTGTTGACGTTTTTCACCTCAGTAGTGCCTTTTGCTCTATTTGCCAGCTTCGTTGAACACGCACGTACTCTACAATCGGACAAATTCCGATTTTTCCGTCGACATAAGTCTTGCGTTTAGCGTCGTACCGCGGCCGCGCTACGGCTACAAGAAACATGACCTTGCCAATGAAGCGGCGGTTGGGGCATGCTTGATAAGGTGCAAACTCATCCTTGGTGAGGTAATATCTTGTCGATACCTTGTATAAATTGAACCATTTTTCATCTACGTGTACGTAGTCATACATGCGATGCATTCTATAGTCTCTTCCTCCTAGTAATAAGAAACAAACACAAAAAAGGTTAGTTTTATAGAAGATTTAAGTATTGCAGCAACGTACCAAATACTCGCTCCACATGAGCAAGAGCAAAAGCCAAGCGGCGTGCCTTGTGCACGTCTGTCAGCTTCGGCTTAACACGAGTCGTAGCACGACAAAAGACACCTGCCGCCAAGTGGCGCATCAGCGTCGTCTAAGGAATGCTAGTAGCCGAGGCGAGACAACGCAACGACTGGGGCGCGCGTTCATGGGTACTTCATGAATTTTGCCAGCGATTTCCGCTGGAGAAGGTTGAGTGCGTCCTCGGGCTCTTGGTTTTCGAGGGGCAACAAGAGCTTCGAAGTTGTCGCGGTTGCTCCATATCACGGACACTTAACGGCGAGAGATCTTAAACCGTTCAGCCGCAGCTTTAATACAGCCTCTTTGCACTTTGTCGTTGCTTGACCTAACAGATAAAAACAGAGCGACAGCAGAAACTACGCGGACCTGCGGAGATATTTCTTTGGCACCCGGCGTGCGCATTGTGTTGGGATGAAAGCTTTATCAGAGAGTAGGAATTAGTGGTTAATTTCCTTTGAAATTACTGGCGCGGGAGAGCACGTTGCCGTATTGCCTGCTGGTTGAGTTTTGGCCAATAAAACGTATTGTGTGCACCACAAAAAAAACAATTGCGCATATTATCGTGGACTAGAGAAGTATTATACAACGCCCCTTAGATCCAAGTATAAGTCTCGTGGAGCATGCAGTCTCCATATCCGAGGAAATTTGTGTGCTACGCTGACGGCACAGCCAGGATATTCGACCGCACTACGTTCATTTTAGGACTACTGGAATCGTTCTACCAACCACTAAGTCACTCATCGTTGAAGTTTTTCGTAACACCGTACAATGCCTAAACCAGACATGCATTCGATGACATGACCTAAAAATATTTTTAGCAAACGAAAAATGTTCCGGCGGGGACAGAACTACACGATTTGTTTTTCCGCAGCGTTTGAGATAAACAAGCGTGACCCGTTGGCAAAATCAGAAATCGTAGCCAGTGCGTCCTCCTTTCATTTGGATTCGTATCTTGCCCTCAACGATAAGCTGAAGTAATGAGTTTAAATCGATATATATCGGTTTATCATCTTTTCGTTAAGGTTAATACCCGCATTCTAAAAAGCAAAACACATGTTCCACCTTGGATCAATCATGGTAGATGACAAGAAATTAAGTTTTATCCGATTTGACCAATCAGAAAGATATGCTGACAAGGCAAATGCGTGGTGGGGAAAACTTTGTACGAACATACCCACGTTTTATCATCCTATAGCTACCGTCTTCCCCCGCGCAGTACGCCTAGCCGTTATGACGTTGATTCTTACAGACGATGAAATTATTGGTTTTAAACGCCTAGGCGCTATGCAACAAAAATATACCGAATGTTTCAATGATTCGTCAGGGTTACTTTGGTTTATTGGTGTGGGTTCGACCCTCCTATGCTACTGACCGAGTGTTCAAGCCCGCCTTCGTGCAGTTCACATAAATTGTGGTGTGGTAACGGGTCAGTTGTTTTCTTTCATTGGGGACTGCATTGTATATACGGAGGTTTTATTCTTTTAAGAAAAAAATCATTATTCTTTTTACTTTTTATTTCAGGATTCCAGTACCAAAATGACTAAACAATGTATCCATCCACTTCAACTGCAAAGTACGACCCACTGCGAGCTAAATGCATTGTTTTCACAGGATTCTCCACTTAGTAAGTAAATTTTGAGCCCACTTTGCAGTCCTTGTCCACTGCAGTCACCACAACATTCCAGCTGTGGAGCTTTGAAGCCGCATGAATCTCCAACTCTCCCGGATCCGTGTTTCCCTGTTGAAGCTCGTCCAGATACAGCTCGTCAATGAGGCCACTTAGATCTTCCAAGTTCTTCATGTAGCTCACAAGCTCGTAAACGAAGTCATCTACAGCGATTGATACACCGAAGAGTAAGCAGTAAAACAAGCTCGACCTCTCGTTGTCAGGAAGGTACAAGGAAGGAGCTGCTACGCAGAGCTGTTCTCGATCGTCTGCTTCGCCACGGATATGTTGGTACGATGCATGCCATTTTTCCATGTCGAGGTCGGATGCCAGAAGGTCTTTTAAAGGCTGATGAAGCTTGTCACGGTTGAAGCTTGTCTTTGGTTCCACCCCACACAGTGTAAATGCCTTCTTGATGTCATCGACTCGACGACTTGCTACCCAGTCCAGCGTCCATTCCGCGACAGTTTTGTAGTGGGGGACCTTGGGATTGCCCG